TCACAACCTATTCATATCCTAATATCTATCTCATCCTCTTCATGTTACAATCTATCAGACTGTTCATAGATTTCTATCTGTGCCTGTTCATAAGCATCTGTCTATCTCACCTTGTTCATATCTTTCTATCCATCTATGTTAGCCTGTTCATATCTATCTCAGCCTCTGTCTATATTTCTGAGATGAAGTATTATGTACATTATTTACATTACTCAGACTATTGTCCTCATCTTTGTTGCCATATTTATTACAATGTTTTGGCCATTGTATGCTCCGGTCTTCATCAGGTGGTTGGAATGTCGAACTTAACCCACAAGGACACATGGCACAGTGGATAAAGGCATTGGTTAGATCCAGTGACAGGACCCAAAGAGTGTGAGTTCAATACCTGGTTAAGGCAGTGAAGAACTTTCAGAGGGAAATTACCAGGAGATAACTGATAACTGACATCCATTAGACATGGCATGTGGAACTAGAACAGTGAGCGAAACAAAGGGTTAAGTTCGACATTCCAACCACCTGAAGAAGGCCAGTGCGTACAATGGCCAAAACGTTTTAATAAATATGGCGACAAGGATGAGGACAATCGTCTGAATAATGTAAATAATCTATCTCAGCCTGTTCATATCCATCCATATATCTCAGTCTGTTCATATCTCTCTATCCCTCTCTGTTCATATCTATCTATCTATCTATCTATCTATCTATCTCAGCCTGTTCATATCTTGCTATCTCTCTCAGCCTGTTCATATTCATGTATCTATCTCAGCCTGTTCATATCTTTATATCTATTCATCTATCTATCTCACCCTGTTCATATCTATCTATTGCAGCCTGTTCATATATTTCTATACCTCTCAGGCTATTTATATCTTTATATCCATTTATCTCAGCCTGTTCATATCTTTCTATCTAATCCTGTTGATATCTCTCTATCCCTCTCAGTCTGTTCATATCTTTCTATCTCAGCCTGTTGATATCTCTCTATCCCTCTCAGTCTGTTCATATCTTTCTATCTCAGCCTGTTGATATCTCTCTATCCCTCTCAGCCTGTCCATATCTTTCTATCTCACCCTGTTGATATCTCTCTATCCCTCTTAGCCTGTCCATATCTTTCTATCTCACCCTGTTGATATCTCTCTATCCCTCTCAGCCTGTTCATATCTTTCTATCTCAGCCTGTTGATATCTCTCTATCCCTCTTAGCCTGTTCATATCTTTCTATCTCAGCCTGTTGATATCTCTCTATCCCTCTTAGCCTGTTCATATCTTTCTATCTCAGCCTGTTGATATCTCTCTATCCCTCTTAGCCTGTACATATCTTTCTATCTCACCCTGTTGATATCTCTCTATCCCTCTCAGCCTGTCCATATCTTTCTATCTCACCCTGTTGATATCTCTCTATCCCTCTTAGCCTGTCCATATCTTTCTATCTCACCCTGTTGATATCTCTCTATCCCTCTTAGCCTGTTCATATCTTTCTATCTCAGCCTGTTCATATCCCTCTTAGCCTGTTCATATCTTGCTATCTATTTATCTACCTGCATCAGACTGTTCATATCTATCTATCAATTTAAGCCTGTTCATATCGTTCTATCTCTCTCAGCATGTTCATATCTATCTATCTATCTATCTATCTATCTATCTATCACAGCCTGTTCATATCTATCTCTGCCTCTTCATATCTTTCCATCCATCTACCTCAGCCTGTACATACTTTTCCTTCTCTCTCTGCCTGTTCATATCTATCTCCGACTGTTTATATACATGTTTTTATTTCCTGAGTGTATTCAGATCCTCCTATATATCTCAGCCTGTCCATATCTTTCTATTTCTCTCAGCATGTTCATATCTTTATATCTCTCTAGTCTGTTACTATCTATCTCAGTCTGTTCATACCTTTCTATATATCTCTTTCTCAGCATCTTCATATCTTTCTTTCTCGCACAACATGTTCATATCCTTCTATCTCTCTTAGCCTCATCATATGGTACACTCTATCAGAGTGTTCATAACTTTCTATCTCTGCCTTTTCATATCTATCTAACATTGTTCATAACTTTCTATTCATCTATCTCAGCCTGTTCATATAATTCTATCCATCTATTTATTTCAGCCTGTTCGTATATTTCTATCCATCTATTTATTTCAGCCTGTTTATATCCTTCTATCTATCTATTCGTCACTCTTCAGCCTCTTCATATCCAACTATCTCAGTCTGTTCATAGCTTTCTATCTCAACATGTTCATATCTGTCTATCTGTTTCAGCCTGTTCATATATTTCTATCCATCTATTTATTTCAGCCTGTTCATATCCTTCTATCTATCTATTCGTCACTCTTCAGCCTCTTCATATCCAATTATTTCAATCTGTTCATATCTATCTATCTATCTATCTATCTATCTATCTCATTCTGTTCATATCTATCTATTGCAGTCTGTTCCTACCTTACTATTTATCTACCAGTCTCAAACTGTTCATATCTATCTATCAATTTAAGCCTGTTCATATCTTTCTATCCATATATATCAGTCTGTCCATATCTATCTCAGTCTGTTCATATCTCCCTATCTATCTCAGCCTGTTCATATCTTTCTTTCTGTCTCAGCCTGTTCATATCCATCCACCCACATGTATATCTGCTACATGTGGGTTTGCGGCTTATATCTCATGGCTTGAAACTGTTACATATTTCAGAGACCATACCAGCATTTCAGATATTCACAGGAAAGAAAGAAGTCAGCTGCCCCTGGGAGAGTTGGTGTAACACAGTCTTCCTATATCCATTTAAATAATACACTAACTTAACCACCAATCTGGCCTTGTACTGAAATAAGCTAAGCTTCGAAAAAATAAAAATACCACATATAATCTTCTGATTGCATCAGTGTTGAGTACATTCCATTTATTCTTTTAAAAAGAAAAAAAAAAAGAAAATTGGCATGCTCAAGTGACATCCCCCAATGTGAATTTAAATACAGATTAACTTTAATACTAATCCGCCTCACTAATCCTCAAGGTCATGTCATGAAGCTAATTGTTGAAAAGGCTAGAATTCAAGGAGGCATGAAACAAATGTTCCTGACATGCATCTTTTAAAATCATTTCATACCAAGCAAACTAATAAAGCCACTACGCTGTGACGAGTGTTACAGAATATTAGAAAAACTATTATTAACGAGTGAGGACAATAAAGAAAAAGGTTTAAGAAGACAAAAGATAACAATTGACATTGCGTTTATATGGTGGTTTGATGATAGATTGATAATGAACAGACTCAGACAACTAGATTTTTTAATCATTTCACCACAAGCAAGACAATAAAGCCACTAAGACGCGAAGGGGTTACTGAGTATTAGAGAATATAAGAAAAAACTACTACTAACAAGTGAGGAGAATAAAAGAAGAAGAATTAAGAAGACAGAAGATAATGATTGACATTGCAATTACATTTCCTCCCAAGCAAGGCATTAAATCCACTAAGACGCAAAGGGGTTACTGAGTGTTAGAGAATATGAGAAAAAGTACTATTAATGAGCAAGGACCATAAAAGTAGAGAAATTAAGAAAACAAAAGATAACAATTGACATTTCATTTAAATTTTTGAAAATCAAAATTGACTGGAAAGCAAGAAACCAGAAAAGAGTTCCACAAGCGAGAAATGCGAAAGAAGAAACTATTAGCATAGAACTTACGGTTTCACGCAGAATGATGAGACCTTGACGTCAATCTAGTACTATACTTAAATTCAAAAAGTCTAGGTACCATAGTAAAGAGTTCATCCGAACAATTACCATAAAAGTAAGTCTTTACATTCAGCACCTTCAATGCCATTTCTCGTATTTTGATGACTTCATCAATCTGATTACTAATCTTAATAAAGTTAAATATATTCAGAAGCCATGCGTTAGAAAACTTAACCTAATATTTATCGATCTATCTCTGTCCATATCTATCTCAGTCTGTCTATCTGTATCTTATCTTTTTTTTAATCATTTAACCCCAAGCAAGGCAATAAAGCCACTAGGATGTACGGTGTTACTAAGTGTGAGAGAATATAAGAAAAAAACATTACTAAGGAGAGAGAAGAGTAAAAGAATACGAAATAAGAAGACAGAAGATATTGATTGACATTGCATTAACATTTTTGAAGAACTTGACTGGTAAACAGGAATAGAGTTCTATAAGCAAGAAGTTCAAGAGAAGAAACTGTCAACATAGAACATATGGCTGCATCTCCAGTGCGTCTCAAAAGTGTTTGCACCTATAATTTTTCTAGAATATACAAATTTTAATGGCTTATGTAAACATTAGAATAAATATATTTAATTTAAAATGACATATCCAACGTGACATGAAGGTTTAATTAACGAAAATCTCCATATTATTATTTATTTAAGGATTTCTATATATTTCAGGTGAATAAAAAGTGTTTGCAGAAATCATAAATTTTAAAATAATGGCTCATGGGAAGATGCTTACTGCTGATGAAAAAGCCAAAATATCAAAATGACTATGAAATGGTAAAACCACACTGGAAATAGCAAAAAATAATTAAACGAGATCATCGCAAAGTGAAGCAATATTTCAATAATGGTAAAGTTAAGCCCAAGAAGCACAAGGGTGGGGTCGCCCACATGCAGTTAATAAGAGAGAATTAAGAAAAATTAAAAGAGCTTTCAAACAGAACTCTCACACCACCAGCAAAGAAATTTTTAAGCAAGATGGCGTTGAAGAAGTTATTGAAAGCAACACGAAATCGCATCCTCCGTCGTATGGCAAAATAACGTTCTCCAATTTCATACCCTCCATTGAATGAAATAAATCACCTGAAGAGGTTAGAATGCGCAAACAATTACTTAAATATTGATTTCCAAAGAGTAATTTAGACGGATGAAGCCCGAGCTACATTAGACGACCCCTGATGGTTGGAAAAGAGGTTGGCTCACACATGGTAGAACTCCTCGTTTGCGTTTTAAACGCCAACTAGGCGGTGGTGGAGTGATGTTCTGGGCTGGAATTTGTGGCTCGACATTAATTGGACTATTTCTTGTGCTAGAAGAACTCAAACTGAATTCAGCTAATTATTGCCAATGTTTAAAAGAACATTTCATACCCTGGTTGAATTCACAAAATGACGAGTTCCGTAGTAATCTTGTTTATCAGCATGATAAGGCCCCCAATCATACGGCGTGTTTCATCAAACAGTGGTTGGCAAATCAAGGTTTTACAGGGGACAAGATTATGGTATGGCCACCACAGAGTCCCAATTTAAACCCTATTGAGAACCTTTGGGCCACGGTAAAGCGTCGAGTTTATGAAAATGGACGGCAATTTTCTAACAAGGAACACCTGTGGAAGTGCATTTTGGATGTTTGTTCTAAAATTACAGCCAGTGAAGTTAGGAAACTCACTTCATCATTCGATAAACAACTTAGTGAGCTTCTTAAAAATGACAGTCAAAAAATTAAATATTAATGTGCTCCTTGTGTTTTCAGACACTGATATCTAAACAAAGCCATACCAACTTTCATTTATATATAATACATAATATCACTTTTCATTATTTTATACAATTGATTTGAACAGGACTAATTTTTTGCATTGAAATTAAAGTTTGCAAAAATTTTTGATTCGGTATTATTTCCTTAATTAATAAAAAAATCACAAAAAAGCTAATTTTCGTAATTTATTCTAAGATGTAATGTTTGGATATTAGGCGAACAGTAAGGAATTAAAATATTCAACTTTTGCCTATAAAAGCATATTTTATTGGGGAAAATGCAAAATATCAGTATTTACAAACTCTTTTGAGTCGCACTGTAGGTATTTCAGCTGTAAAATAATGAGACTTAACTGTCAATCTAGTACTGCACTTAAATACATGTCTAAAATCTAGGTACCATATAGGGAAGTTCATCAGAACAATTACCATGAAAATATTTATAGAAAAGGCAGAAGGAAGCTATGTAAGGAAAGTAGGGCAGTGACCAAAGCCAGTATACCAGGTCAGGACCAATAACATTGCAGATTCTTTGGATTTTATCAAGAATCTTTAAATACATAGTAGAAGTAGCAGACCATAGGTATCAGTAATGGATTCCAGTGCATGGAAGAATGGTAAACTTATAATGTAACATACAGCCTTGTGCAAATTGAAACAAAACAAATAATTCCATTATTATTTACTTTCTTTTCATATTTTTCCAATGAAACAGAACCCAGTGCACATGTTAGTACTTCGTATGTCCATTCCACAAAGTCGTTCCTTGCAGACTGACCACAGATTCTCGATTGGATTTAAATCAGGAGAGTTTCCGGGTCTAGAGTACTTTGATTTTCTCACTGGTAAGGCTTGCCAGTGTGTTCATGCAGTGTTACAATGTTCACACAATTCCTTGGAGTAACGTCCATTGCAGACAATGGCTGTAGGACAACTAATCGACAGTCAAGACAATAGTGTCTGGGCATGATAAAAATTTGATGCAATCACGGATGATGCAAACAAATTTCATCATACACCCCAAAATAGATTCATATTACTGCACACCACTGCAAATGACGTAATCTGAGGAAAAATAGAAATTGATACACCCTGTCACTCCAGTGGGTCAAAAACTGACCGTATGGTGAAAGAAAGGTAACTAAAGTAGTTGTTTCAATTAATTTGCACAATTTGCATTGATGCATTACATGTTATAAGTCAATTTGCCTTGAAAGTCAGCATTCAGTATTGTTATGAAATTATTGTTGCTAGGTTTATTGATTTGGCTGAGAAATTGTCTAACTCAATACAGTCAACCAAGTTTCTTAGCTGCAGACCTAGCAATTGATTCAATATAACTTTTTCACTACATTCCAGTGGAAGACATTATCCCGAGAAGGTGCAGTGAATGATTTTCCTGGTGGTTAGTATCAGCCATGATGATGGAAAGCAAAAAGGATTCTCCGATGATTAATAGAGAACATTTTCATTTTGGATGCATTAAAATTAACAAGCCGTTTCTTGCCTCAGTTAACAACAGATTCTAGGTCATAGTTTAGATCTGTCGCAGCTTGGTATATTATATTGCTTTGCAGGCAATTGTTATTTAAGGGAAATTCAAGAGGAGAAACTGGTTATAATCACCTTCCCAGACCAAGAGAAATTAACTCATCTCAGAATGCAAACAGAAAAATAAATTTTTACTACGTTGCTTAAAAACCAAAAACTAAAAACAAATATTTTGTAAAACATCACCAAAAAATTTGAAAATATATGCACTATATACAACGCAGATAATGTAATATATTTTAAACAAAGTCAATGCTTTAAACGCATGGTACATTTGGAAAGAGCCTGAAAAAACATATGACAGGTTGACCCAAGTCTTTTGAGTGAAACTGGGTAGATGGAACTGTTTGGAAGCCATTGATGGCTGTGCTGACACAGTCATCATGACTGAGGGTTTAAATATGCTGGCCTTATTTGGATAATGCACTATATCCAAGAAACTGTA